GATGACTAGCTTGAATTTAAGGCTCCTGTACTTAAGCTATTCTCAACTTCAGGAAACAATTTTCATTTCTCACGTAAGGCATCAAGATTCTGTCCAAAGTGATGATTCAAATAGTTGTATTACAGACTGGTGGTCATTATATGAAATGATCATGACTATTAAACACAACCATCATTCCTGTAACTGTGTTCTGGTTTTAGATATCAGATTGAGTCCTTCCTTTTACTTCCCTAAGCACAATCAGCTCTAATCAGATCAGCTAAAAATACAGGTTAAATATGCTCTGGCCAGTTAAATCAGTGAAGGCACATCCTGTAACCCCATCTAAATTCTTTTGAGACGGATGCTTAAAACTTGGAATTTCTATTTTCCATAGTGAATTCTGACACCTAAAAAATAAGAACAAGTACCTATTTCTGAACACAGAAAGGGCTTAATACACATGATTCATAGCTCAGACCCAGAAACAAAAGTCATGCCATACAAATTGTGTTAACCAGTGAATGCATGAGTGACCATCAAAATTTTTTCATAGTTTGACATTTAAAAAATGAGAATAATCAAAGATGGACTATTACCTGATTTAAAAATAAAAGGATTTTAAAAAATAATTTCCTATACCTTATTCACTAAAAATGAATTAGAATAATTATCTACCCATGCCCAAGTGCAATTATCTATGCATTTCCAGTTTGTATAAATGCATTGTTTTCCAACTACATATTTTCTAGAAGCCCATAAAAAGAAATGATGTCCTATTCCTGAACACAGCCATGCCTGAACCATTGCACAGTAAGACAGGATGGAGCAGACTGGAAAGGGCTAAGATACAGAAACAGACCCTTCCACCAGACCGCAGTGTTGCGTGCATCAGAGCCGGGTAGGGGCAGTGAAACAGACCAGCAGATGGCTGCGCGTACACACAGGAGAGATGGTAGACAGTGAGTGTGTGTGTGTGTGTGTGTGTGTGTGTGTGTGTGTGTGTGTGTGTGCTAAGAACACATAAAATGCATCTGCAGACCCACATACATTATCTTTTAAAGCTCACAACTCTAAAAGGTAGGTGGGTGAGATTAGAGAATGAATCCAAAAGCAGCAACTGGTGGAGACTCAGGCAATGGGCACCAACAATGCATCAGGTAAATTGGTCAGCAAGTAGCAGGGCCCAGTCAGCCACTGAGACAGGCCTGGAAAACAGGACTCCAAACTTCAGAGATACACTAACAAGGGCAGGGCAGGACACTCCTCCTAAAGAGACAAATCTACAAACACATACTATAAAGACTGGATGTGGGCACAGGAACATATAAAATATCCATTATTAGAGCTAAGGTATAATATAGAGAATAAAATGGATTGAGCTCCTGATCTATAAGGGTGACCATGTACATTTAAATTACAAACTAGGAATGCAGATGTTATTAGCAATTATGCTGAGACAGCAGGCAGAAACTGGGAATGTTAGGGTAAAATGGGACATATGATCACCCCAATTATACATCACCTAGAGAATCCACAGGTAGAATTCAAGGAAACACAACTGAGAAAGGGAAAAAATGCAAAGGGTAAAAACCAAAGAAAAGTGGATTTAGGAAAGACTGTGTTTCTTTCCTTTACTTTGGTTTTAACATTTGATAGTATGGTGTGAAAAATCAGAGACAGCAGCATATGTTTAACTATTATTTTTCCTCTCTTAATTGACTAACCAGCCAGGGGCTACCATGATTGTTCCAGCAAAAACACTAGGCATAAAAACTCTCAAGGAAACTTGCTCCAGAAGATTGAAGAGCAAGAGGGTAAATTTCCCTTGGCAGTGGGGTCAGTGGCAAGATGGAGGCTGGTTTCAATGACAAACTCCTCTAAAGACCCTGGGAATTTCAGCTGCAGAGATGGCCAAGCTGATGACACCTGAAGGACTTCTGCAGGATGTGCCCTTGGGGACAAGCCCAGAAGTTGTAGCTTTTGGCTTATTAGAAGTCTCAGGGATGTAAAGAAAGAAAATAAGATGTTTATCACCAGACTGATTATGATGTCACACAAGAGGACGCTAATTGTTAGTAGATTCACTTTGCAAGAGAAAGATCTCTTTGGAAAATGTTCTCTGATTCCCAGGGTAAGCAACAAATGAATTGGTAGCTGTCCCCAAATGCTACCATCTCAGCTTCATGCAAACAGTTTGATCTAGGCCTCAATCTTGCAAATGTTGTAATGCTATACTTGGAAAGTTAGCAGAGCCTTACTGGAGATCTTTCAAAAGGACAGTTTTGACAGTTTGACACTCTAGCTTGTCAATGCTGCAGTATTGTTCCTGAGCTTCTAGGTGTTGACTTTGAATATTGACCTGGCACTGGCAAGCCATTTTCATTAGACATTCAGGATAAACCTAAAAGCAGTATGTTTGGAGGGAGAAGAGATAGTGAATATGGCTTTTACCTTTTACAATAAGGCCTTGTGTTATCTTAGTTATACTTGATTGTGAAATTCCATCCCCCCTCGCCCTAAACTATACAAAGTTTAACTTCAAAGTTCATGCTTTCAGGGATTTGGAAGATTAGAAAACCACTATCAAAGTATGGTGGCTCTGCCAGGCCTTAAGTTAATGAATATCATGACCTTAAGCAGCCAGTTTGACACTGCAATGGTTGAGCAAGAAATGTCAGAGTGAGATGAAAAAAAATGTTCAGAAGGTCCTTCAACTCACAAGCAGTTTCAACCCTCCCCACACATTCAAAGGCCTCTTCCTTTCTTTTTTATTTTTGTTAGCATTTAATCACTATCTAATACACTATCTGTTTTACTTACGTTTTGTTGTTGCTGGTATCCATGAAGGCAGGATTCTCTTTGGTACATTTCTGTATTCCCAGTGCCTAGAAGATTTGCCTGGCACATAATGGGTATTCAATAATATTTGCTGAATGAATGAATGCATAACAGAAGACTCTCCGTCCCACATAAATATGCGTCCTTCAGTCTTGTTTGCCCTTACGATGTAACATAACCAACAGAGGAAAGGAGTTCTACAAAATCCTACTTTCTCCCCTGTGCTTGGAGGCTTCTGGGCTGGAGAGTGACTCTGTTTGAAAGAAGGGAATTTGAAGGAACATGCAGGGAGCTGTGGAGTGAAATTGAGTGTGGGACTAAGGGAAAAGGAGAACAGGTGAATTCACCCACGTCTGGAATTTTAAAAAGAGTCAGGCTAACCTTTAAGAAAGAGAATCAGTCTATAAAAAAAGTTATATTTGTTGAACTTCTGTAACCTGTAAGTTTTTCACTACCTGTCTCCCTTTACAGCAATAAATCCTTCAAACAGATAAACCAAAAAGATTCAATGATAGCCAAGAAATAGAAAATGATGGGGACGATATCCTGAACAAAAGGAAGAATCTTAAGAAATAGGAGTAAGAAAGGATTTTAAAAGGAAAGGAGGAGGAAAGCATACTGGTACACCGAGGCCTCAGAAGGAAGACAAGAACCCTAGGAACTGAGAAATAACAACTTTCCAAACACAAGGGCAGCTTAGTGACAGAACAGGGAGAAGGCAGGCATCAGGGCTCTCCATGAATGGCTGAAACAAAAGATAGAAAAAGTGGCATCACCACCCTCTTCTACCTCTCCATCATCTCCCAAGCCAAGCAGTTGCTTAATCCTGCTGTTTTTCATGTTAGTGATATTCTCAAATCAGGTTTTTATTTCCCATCTCTACAGTCACTATTCTAATTTAAGGCCCTGCCATTTTCTCATAGGACACAGTAACTACCATGCCACTCTGTCTCTGGGTTTACCGCCCTCCAATCTATCTTCCCACAGTCTCCAAGGTAAATTGGACCATTCCACTCTCCAGTGTAAAACCCATTAGAGGCTCCTCCATGGCGTGTTTGAATGATTGCCATTCAAGTTATATTTTCAAACCCTTCTCTAATGATGTACAAAAATGTTCACATTAAGGCCTAAGTGTGAACTCCATATGTACAGGGACAATGCCTGACTTATTTATAGCTGAATCCCAAACAATCAGCACACTGCCTGTGCTCCAAAAATATTTAGTATTTATGTTCCACAATTAAATAAGAGTGGAAAAATCATGATACAAAGCCATGCAGAATACAATCCTAATAATGTAATTATATGCACACAAAAAATATCAGAAAAATACAGCAAAATGGCTATTTTTTAGTTTTATTCAAGTTTTTTTTTATTTTCAAAATTTGCCATAGAAGTTTTTTTTTCCTCCTCTAATACTGAAATTAAAAAAGTATAAGCACAAACAAAAGAGAGTAGAACAAAAAACCATGTACTTGACATTTTAGGTAGCAGTGTGGGGCCTAATGGAAAGTATAGCACCCTCATCATGCCACATGGGACTCTTCATCTTCCAGCCCTGCCTCTCCAACACCTCCTGCTATCTCTCTGCCACCGAAGATAGTCAGCAGTGCAACGATGTGCTATGTTTTTCACATTTGTACTTGCTGTCTACTGTTACCCCACTATTCCAGTATTCCCAATGTAGCAGTTCTGTGTTCTTGTCATCTTTTCATTTCCAGGACAAAGCACAATTCCTGACATACAGGTGGACATATTAAATGTTGATGGCATAAATTAATTAATACATGAATAAGGTGGTAACACTGAATGTCACAATTATTTCATTTACTTTAAAATAATACTTACCTAATAGGATGGGTTGTTGTGAGGACTAAACCAGAAGATGCATGTAAAACATGACTGGCACATAGTAAGCTCTCGAAAAATGATCACAGTTACTAACTATTATCATTGTAACCCTGTAAGAGTTGCTTTTCTCCCTTTGCCACAATCATCTTAAATTGTGAATAATAATTCCTGTCTTGCCCACCCATTGCCTTGAGATAAGAAAGAGCTTAAAGTAGTTTAGGAACCAAAAATGGCTAGACAAACACATATTATTGTGATGATGATGATGATATGCCATTTTCTTTTCAAATTTTTCCCTACAATAAACTTATCCTTTAATGTCACATTACCTTTGCTGATGTTTCAAACCATCCTACAAAACCATGCTCCTTGCAGAACTGGTCCATCTTGAGGCCATTGTTCATGAGTACATCCTTTCCCTGGTCACATTTGTTGGCCAACAAAACCACTGAAACTGGTTTGCCGTTAGGAAGAGTTAACTTGGAGTCCAAATCATTTTTCCACTTTGCCACTGCTTCAAATGTGGCTGGCCTGGTGACATCGAAGACAATAAATGCACCCATAGCTTCCCGGTAATAGACCCTTGTCATGTTTCCAAATCTTTCTTGACCTGTCAACAATAACAACAAAAAGTTAAAAGTAAAAACCAAAAACTTATTACAATTGTAAACTCAACCATATTAGAACCTGATGAGGACTCCATTATGAGCAAGTCACATAGTAAATTGCTTCATTGCTAATCTTTAAAGACTGAGCTAAATATGCAATCATGAAGTTTTACTCATCTTTGAATCCAGACAGGAATTCACTCATTTAACAAATATGTATCAAGAAATTTCTGTGTACCAAGTAATGTTCTAGAACTGTGCTAATACAGTATTCCAATAGCCATATATAGCTATTTAAATCTAAATTCATTAAAACTAAATAAAATTTATAACTCAATTACACTGTCACGCTAGCTAGCTACATTTCAAGTGTTCAATAACCACATGTGGCTAGTGGCTACTGTATTAAACTATGTATATAGAACATTTCTATCATCATAGAACGTTCTCTTTGATAACACTGTTCTAAACACTTGGAATATGGTGATTAAAACATGAAAATTCCTTCCATCATGGTGATTATATTTTCGTGGGAAGACAGATTCTAAGCAATAAACATAATAAATAACTAAATATGTATTAATAGTATATTAAAAAAGTGTCTACAGTCTAGTCCAATTAAAGGTAATAATATTTACCATTCATTGTATGCTTACTAACCATCAGAAGGGTTATTTATACAAATGATCATGAAGGTACAATTATTATCCCCATTTTAAAATGAGACTTTAAATTGAGACTTAGAAAGTCTAAGTAACACGCCCAAATTACATAGATGGTAAGCTCGAGAAATCAGAATGGAAACCCAAGCTGTTTGAATCCACTACTAAATTGTAGACTTGTACTATTTCTGCTGCAGGTTTATGCACCAGTAGCATCCCATTCAATCCAATGAACAGATAATTACTGGACATCTACTGTATTGATGTCATTCTCTGGGCTACATGCTAAGAACACAACAGTAAACTAGCTGGTCTCTACCCTTACGTAGTCTACAATCTGTTGGATAAGGGAAGCCCTCTGACGTAGCAAAAAACCAAATAAAAAAGTCTCAGAAGGATGAGGATTGGTTTTGGAATTAGTTGTAATCAGCTGGAATCAGTTTTGCTGTGATGCTTAATTTTCTAAGTGAATACTAGCAACTTTCTTTTTTTTTTTCTGGCAAGTTTCACATACACTCTAAGTTTAGCCTTCCTCATTTGCAAAATGACAATACAAATATGTATCTCACAGAGTTATCATGTGGATGAAATGTAACATATGTAAAGCACCCAGCAAAGTACTTCAGAACTAGTCAGTACTAGAGTTTTCCTCGCTTTCTCCAGCACGTTAAAAAATATGAATAACATTATGACACAGGTTCTAAAATCATAGTCCCAGGCCAGAATTTATAACAAAAAAATTTCAAGAATTTCAGCTGAGTTACAAAAATGAACAAAATCCTATTACTTCTAACTCTGTCTAGTGGTTACTGAAGACAGAGGCTAATGAAGACTGAGCTTATAATTTCCAAACCCAAAACCCCAGAAATATGTGACCAGACAAAGCCTTTTTATTCTGATTCAGGAATTTATTTAGGTTAAGAGTCTTATAAAGTTATATAAATTAAAACAAAGTTAATGTGTATTTAACAAGTCAACTTTTCTCAGAAAGAATAAAATACTGAACCTGGAATGTAGCTAAGAAAAAGTAAGTCAAACATACTTCTAAAAACAATTTACACTTAATTTTGAGCTCAAGGTTTTGTGACAGTGACTTTTAATTCAAGTTAATAAACTATTTTGTAGATTGTTACACTCACCTTGTTATTAGCATTGATATTGTAAGAGGAGAAGAGTCCCTAAGCACTTAATGAAAATGAATGAAGGCCAAGGGCTCTGGTCCCAGTGTGTGAGCTTGTGTGCTCAAGCAAGTAGCACTGGAAAAGAGCATTTTGTCAGGGCCAGTACATGATAATCCTAAAACATTTCTTACATGGGTTGTACCACAGACGCATTTTTAATAATTTCCCACAATTGTCTACTCAATGAAAAAAAGGGGTAAAATATTTGTCATATGACATATAACCCACAGATGTACTTTCATTTTTCCCAAATGAGTTTTAAATTTCTTTTCTTTTTTATTTTTTTGTTTTGTTTTGTTTTTTGTTTTTCAAATGCTTGATGCAAACAGTGATCTCCTTTCTTACTGCTCAGGGTGTCCGTGACATTTCAGGAAGACAGCAGGAAAAAGCCTTCTGTGATCATTGAGAACTCTGAAGGCCTCTAGGCTTTTTAAGGATGTCTTATGATCTCTTTCAGGGATCAAATCAGATGAAGGGCAAAGTCATGGGTTATTCAATAATCTGCTTGTCCAGAGGTTTTTCACAGTAGAGTAAGGTGGCCCTCAAGCATAAAGATTTTACATTTCAAATATATGACAAAGAGTCACTTAAAGACCATACAAAAAGCAATATATATATATAGATTTCTACCTTCAAAGGGATTCAAAAAGCAAAGAGTGTGTGTGTGTTTGAGCTTGTGAGTGTCAGATCAGAAACAAGAAGAAGACAGTTTGTTTCTAGAAAGAAAAGACCTTTGTATATTGAGGTCTCTAGGCCAGTCCACTTGGAAAGTTTATATTTTTGGCGTTCTAGCAAAGGGGTCACATTCAGATCAGAGCACTTCTAGCACTCCCATTGTTTCCTTCCTGTGTCAGCTGACAGTCCTCTTTGCTGTTTTTTGTTGAAAGAATGAGAACCATGTGACTCTTAGTGCCTACTTATGGGCAGAGTAGAGACTTGATGAATTTATCAGAGGTAAATTTACTTTAAAAAAAAAGGCTATAATTCAAAAACCACTTTGGCTTAGGTCACTCGTTCAACACACTTTTATGGAATAGCTAATGTGGTCTAAACTCTGTGCTTTGTGCTGCGAATACATAGTTTTTTGCCCACAAGGAACTTCTAAACTAAGGAGTGTCATGCTGGATGGCTGCCCTGAAAATGATCCAATTTACCCCATAAGCCCCCGCTTCTCTGAGTTTCTAAACACGCATTTCATAGCAGTGTAGATGTAGCTCATGATGCAGCTTCGAGGGGTATTAAATGACAAAGCAACCAACTAACCCACAAAAGTTAATACAATAGCTGCACTAACAATCTGGATAAGCTCATGGCAAAAGGCACTGACTTGAAGAGTCAGAAGACAGGGGTCTTAATTTTAATCACTGGTTACCACAGCAGCCTTAGGCAAATGCATTTCTCTCCCCGAGACCCAGTTTTCTTATTTGTAAAATGCAGTTGGTATGGCTGATCTCTAAGGCTCCCTCCTGGTCCCATGCCTCACGTTAAATCAAACTTTGGTCCTCTGTTGCAAGAGCCTGAAATGGTCCATTTGGTGTTATAAACTCAGTTAAAAATACACACAAGCGCCACAGCCATAATGTGTATTTAATGATATTTCCACTTCATAATTAGTACTATACAGATGGTCTCAGTAGGCACAACCATGTAGTGAATCTTCTAGACAGGCATAAAACCAATGGCTGGAAGCATGGCGGTTTCCTATTAACCTAGCCATACTCTTTTTCCACTCTGCCCCTAGCCAACTAGCTCTGTTGGCCACGACGTTTCAGGAAGATGGGGGAAAAAAGCCCTCTGTGTTTGCTTACCTTGGATTAGTCACTGAACCATTCCGAGCATCGGTTTCCTCATTGGTAAAATAAGGAAAATGGATTGGATGCTCTAAACCAAATAACTAATTCTGGGACTCCTCTCCCTCACATCCAGGTACCCAGCTTGGGTTCACAGCATCCCACCAACACCACCTCCCAGAGTGGTACCTTCAAGTCATCTTCCAACTCCTTCCTCACCCTCCCATCCGAAGGGTCTCCAACATCCTACCAACACTTCTACTTAAGAGGTGGCTCTTAACACCGCCCCCTCCTCTCCACCAACATCACCACTGCCCCAATGCAGTCCCTCACTGCTTCTCACCTGGACCCCTGGCATCTCCCACAGTGGAGCTCTCAGCACCTAGGCTCTCTCTCCCCAAACATAAATATAGATATAAATATAAACGTAAACACGGTTCTTCAAACAGGTGCCATTCTGGCAGCATAGAAAAATCACCTAAAGTATTTAAAGAATATCCATTCCTGGGCCACATGACTCAGAGATTGTTAAGGTATTGATTTTGTGTGGGGCTCCGGAATTTTTAAGCACTCCCTAGGTAACATTAGTAAATGATCTCATCTTAAAACCTCTATTTCCATTAGAATCTACCTTACAAAGGTAAATCTTACCATTATGCTCTGCTATTTTAGCTATTCAATGACTCTTACATGCTTAAGAAAAAGACCTTCATTAACATAACATGTAAGGCTGTGTATCTTTTGGCTCCAAACACTTTTCCAAATTCTTCTCCTCTCAGTTCCTTCAAAGTGCTCCATGGCCAAGGCACACTGCATTACTCCTTTTTCTTTCTAAAACACATCGTCCCTGAATTTCCTTGCCTTTTTACATGTCTCTTTCAAAAGCCTGAATGCTCTCTTCATCTCTACTCCCACTCTGTTCAATGAAATCTTGTGGCTCCCTCAATTGTGCCCTGAATCTCACCACATTTGTGCAGCCTTTCATGCCCTGACAGCTGGAATCATTGACTCTCGTCTTCACAATCCCACAGCATTTTCTTTATCCTACACCATTACCACTTATCGTGCTTTATATTCATGCTTCGGTCTCCACCATGGCACTGAAAATCCTGGAGAGCAGGTTGATCGTGTTTTAAAGTTGTAAAACCTGAGGCCTATTTCTCCACCTTTCAGATACAGAATAGAAGATACAACGAACTTAAGCTACAATGGTGGAAATAAATTGAAATTAAGGTTTCTCCTTCCTCTAAAATATATTACCATGAATTTGTGAATTAGCACTGCATACTGATATACTTACTCTATACTCAACTCTCATTTCCAGTAAATAATCAATAGACGTTCATTGGAGGAGAAAATTAACATTAAT